AAACAAATAGCATTGCAGAGGTGACTAAGCAAGAACTAGATATAAGAAGATGGCAAAGGTCTTGGGTCATCTAATAAAATTAAATTTTTGCGGTTAAAAATATGAACGAGCATCTGTTTCTAATTAAGCTCAAGTCCTTTCGACTCTAAATAAATCTAAAAATACTTCTTTTTGTTAATCTTAACTTTTGATTTTAGTACTCTATAACTGACATAGAGAGTGTGACCCTCTGTGTATTTGTATAACTGCAATACAGTAAAATTATGAACAAATATCTTATTAATAGTTATTGATGTAATCTAAAATGTATCAATGTCTGGAAAGCCTCATTTTGTAGAACTAAGTATCACTTTGTTGAATTTATGATATTTATATAACTATTAGTGACTGACGAGAGTGCAAACATTATAGAGCGCATACCATATATCCGTGCAAAGTTTTAACTTTAAATTATACAAATTATTGCAAAGTTTCGTAGGTCTACGTTCTACTGAGGTCTACTGAACTTATTAATTTGTGCAAATGTGTGCAATTTCTTACGAAGTTTTTCAAGGATACATGGTGTGCACTCTATTTGGCCATGAAACAGTAATACATATAGAGTGAAGGCATTTAACCCGTGAAATAAAAAATACTAGTCAACGTGTAATACTGAGTCAAATAGACACAAAAGAAAACAATGGAGTTAGGGTCTACTAAAGTGTGTTAGTTTAATGTCTATTTCACAGGTTTAATGACTTCACTCTATAACACTAAAAATAGCACTGATAAAGCAATAGAAAATACTAGACATGGCACTATTTTATACTTTTCAGTKTAAAATACATTTAGTAGTATTTGAATGCCTAGGATTTTAAGTGTTTGCACTCGAGTTCCTGGACTAAATATGRTTCAATATTTTTTGTTCATTTGGTTTCTAGTCTTTATTTGACTTTTAGACATTCACTATTAGATTACTAGTAATGGCTTACGAATCAAGACTGACATCTCTAATGCTTAATGGTCAAGAACCACTCCTTAATATATCTTACATTTATAACATAAAAAGAGCAAACTACATGCATCCTTAGCCGTAGATAGATAACTTGGAAGTTAAGTTGGAAGTTAAAAGTAAATTTCCGTTCAGTATTTTTGACATGTTGGATTTKCTGCTCTTGATTTTTGCTGTCATTATTTATGTGTCAAATATCAAGAACGATGAAGAGGGACTCTTTTTTCTTCTTCCTTCCTTCCGTACTCATCTTTTTTTCTCTCTCTCTCTTTTTTCTTCTTCTTGCTTGCAATTTTTAAGTTTGCTTGCTAAATTTTCTTTCCGCTCTTTTTCTTTCTTCATTTCTTTCTTTCTTTCTTTAARAATTAAAATCTAAAAACTTTACCTAATACATACCACTCATCAAATGGATAATTTTAACATAAAATTTATAACCAGATATTCCCTCAATGCCATAAAGTATTTATACTATTCTAGTGCCTATTTGCAATAAAAGCCTATCTTGTTAAAGAGGCTTCTGATCAAGGAAGTACTTCTTATATATGGATCAAGTTTTTAGGATTTCATTCTAGTTTGACCGGGGAATATGGCATCGTAATGCAAAGCGACTGTTATACTCAAATCTCGRACGTAATTTTTATGATTAGGAATACCTTTTCCAAAAACGCTTTCGGCTATCATAGATATTATATCCGGATTTTTGTGATACGTGCCTTTTTATATGCTGAAGTCTCCGATTCTTTGTTTGACTGAAATCTTTGTCCGCCCAAAAGGTTAGGAAAACATCTTTCTTACAGTACTAATTACAACTGAATGACAACCTTATGTAAAATACTAGTCATAGGTTAATACAAAACACTTGTGAATAAGTCTGAGAGACATTAAGTCTGGAGCTGACCGTTTCGGGGGTGAATTTAAGTTCGAGGAGTTTTGGTGATGGCGKCAATTTTGACGAAGAATTTTTGTCATTTTTTTCGTGTCATTTTAGCAAGAGTTTCAGTGATAATAATTTTATCTTTCGTGTAAGTTGGCTCGTACAGCTAACTTCATTTGATGGAGTACCGCCAACATTTTTAAAGTGTACACGTTCTTCTAGAGCATTTTACATCGGTCCTTGAAAAGATAATAAGCATAATGAAGAGTTATAGACACTAACTCCATTGTTTTCTTTTTTATACTATTTTATTTAATGCCGGTCAAGTAAAATTAACGTGGGCTTTACGTATACATTCATTATATTCAAATGTTATGATGCGATTGGACTCGACTTATTGGGTGAAAAATATTTGCAAAAGTCATGTTTATGGCATAGCTTTGGCGGTTTATTTTCAGCACAATAACGTCGCGTCTCAGGTCTTTTCTCTCAGTCTCCCTCTCAAGTGATAATGAATCTTTTCACTATGGTTAATACAAACAAACCCGATAAACAATAAGCTTTTGAATTTCTGCATGACATTAACATTCATAAGTAATAACATCCGTTTCAGGATAAACAAAAGCAGTATTAAAATTTAAACACTCTTTTTGTTTGCATTATGATCAGGCAAAGCTACGCTTCACTCCACATCACTGGTTTAGGCTTTGGCAATTATCTCCGTCTGTTGTATTCATATAATTTTCAAATTTAGATCAGAGATGTTTGTGGTTTATAGAAAGTGTATTATGATTTCATTTTATGTCATAAACTATAATAAACTATTATAAACTATTATAAACTATTATAAACTATATATTAACTATAATGAACTATATATAAACTAAATTAACTATATATGTTTTGAAGTCTAATATTGTTGAATCACAAAGCAATCTTTGGCTATAAGTTCATGATCAGTTATGTAGTGAGCTAAATTGCTTTTAAAACGTATTTTGCCACTAAAGGTGTAAATTATAATAGAAAATAGTTTATCGTCTTGTACACTTATAATTGACTGTCAAGCTAGTTAGTTTGTAATAGGTTATGCATGATAATTTACCGAAATATCTAGTTTATTGTCACAATTAATTACCATCATTATCTATGATAAATGAGCATAACCACTGGAGGGAATTAAATTACCTTAAATGCAAACAAAGTACTCTTTCTACTGGAAATATTTTTTTAATGGATTTTAAAACGGCTGTCTAATGATACTCTGTACTTAATGTAACCTGATACATGCCGGCAAAATAAAACATGAAGCTTTAGCTTTTGAGGAAATTAAAATTGGCTTAGTGTGTCATCTCAGAACAAGTAGTTCTCGTTTTCGCTAATCCGCGATATATCTTATGAAATATATAAAACATATACGCCAAAAAACTTTACAGAACAAACCCATTCCACTCAACGTGTCAGTGTTTTACGTAAAGAGAGAAGAGACATCCTTTTGATGTGGGTGGATGTCTTCATACAAAAATATTTACATAGCTCTTTCGATGATATCTTTATCCCGTACAGTAAACTGTYCTTGTATTGGATGCTGAACGAGTATTTCACTCAGCGTCTGCGTCTTCCATAGCAATGGAGRACCAAAAAATATAAACTTCGCTTGCATTCTAATTGAAGCGCATTGTGTTTTTTGAACATCACAACGGGTAGCAAGATTAATTCCAGAGCTGGAGAAGAATAGTTCTTAGATATCTTAGTATTATATTTTATTTATTTAGATTGCAATATATTGGGTACATATTCTGAGTATTGCATGATTGGGCTTAGGGGAAGAGCAAGACTTAAAAAGGATGTAACAATATATGGATTTGAACATTCAAGAAATCAGTGACATCCATGGCAGGTGGTTTTGTATAAGAGTTCTGAGTACATCAACATTTCTGTCTTCCAGTCTTGGCTTTGAGTGTTTTAATTGTCAATTCATAACAAATCTTCAATCCCTCCCTAAAAAATAAGACTCTATTYCTGAAGTCCTTGATATTTATTCTTTTTACGGCAGTAGATTACATCCTTTAATAGAATAAATGAGTTTACGTGGTCAGGCTTTTCAATGTCGAATGAAACGTAACTGATGCAATAAGGAACAGTGTTTCTGCCATTATCCTTCAAATCCATAGCCTGCCGCAAGGTTTCCATAACAACATACCAGCTGTCCTCCGGTGCTTTAGCCCATAAGTAATTGAATGAAGTCTTGTGATTGGCTTGATTCGCCAAGAGTTATATCTTATTCGAGAAATTAGAGTTTTAAACGAGACGTCATTTAGCACTAGTGACGTCAGCTATTGACATGCGAACTTGACACCTTGTGTCCACACTTCAATGCTGCCAGGCTCTCAGCGTCCAAGCTCTTCTCCTTCTTATATTCTCAGGCTCCGCTCTCCTCGATTTCTGGTTTAAACGACTCGAATTTGGTATCAAATTGTTCTTCTGTTCCCGAAGAATCCACAGGTATATATCTTGTTGGATTTCAAGCTTGATGGAGTGAGAACGGAGATCACCAAGATAGTCGACCAGCGAGGCTGATAACCACGGCCATATTCTCTTTCCTCCTCCTTGTCCTTTTAAGTAAATCTAATTGGTTTGAGATCACCAGTCCGCTTTKTCAAGCTCTTTGGTCATCAAAATGGCCTTGATATATCAAGTATTGTATGAGAGTACATGGATGTAGTTGATGTAGCCAAGAAGRGCAACGCGAACAATCTCTAGGGAGGGATAGAAGACCCCGAATCAGTCCTTAGTCAGACTTACTTAGAGCCAGTCTCTGTTTAGTCTTTTTTCTTGATTCTTTTCTTTATTATGGTCTCTTAAGGACGAAGAATGTCAAGTTCTGATCCAGCTGTTCGTCCACAAGCCAACGAGAGTGGAAACTCAGGATCAAGGAGGRCCTCGAACAAGAGAGAGTCCAAGACTTCATCACCACGATCCTCTAAGAGTATCTCCAGTGCAGCGAAGAGGTACTGTTGGATTCTGAGTGTTCCGACTCTTTCTAGTTAACACCTTGATCAAGATATAAACTAACTTCGAGCCTTATACTGAGGATATACCTTAGTAGTGAGTGGTTAGAACAAGCTAAGCAACAATTGAAAGATAGAGAGTGAGTGTAGGAACACAGGGTAGGTTCGTAAGTAGGTGGGCGGCACTAAGGCTAGCAGCCATTTGCATGCTAAGATTCTCGTGAGTTTATTAGTGATCCTAAATAAACTGTTGGCCGATAATTGTGTCAGGTTAGAGATACGTTAATGCAGTAAATCTGTGTTGAGTTTAAAGACGAAATATATTAATCATCGCGAGAAAGAGATGTTGGAAGTATGTGGTGTGTGTGGCTTCGGAACTCTCGGCCTTGATTCAACAGTCTATGCCTTTGTTTGCTTTTTACCCTCGGGCGTTTTGTGGCTAATCTTTTAAGAATCTGTCTCACTTGATATCTTGCTGTRTTTCAGGATTCAAAGAGAACTGGCCGAAATCACATTAGATCCACCACCAAACTGCAGGTAAGGTCGACATCACGATAAAGTCAAACTTTTCCTGCTGTGCACATCTAAATTAATAAGATATTGACGCGATCTGGTTCTCTTAGGCCGAGCTTGAGGATTCGTACGCGTTTTATTTACAACAAAAGATTTGCGGGTTCTTTGTCTCGTTGATTATACGCTTTGTTTGTTGACGAATCTCAATGTTCCACGCCGGCGAAGCGCACCTCTCAGAACAACCTTACATATGCCTATCAAACCCCTCTTCAAAGGAAATCCCAAGACGGTTAGTCAGTCTGCTCAGACGAGATATTACCTACGCCAGACAACATTTGTCCTCGATTGTCCTATCAAATGAAAAGCACGTGTATTCTGAGTTACCAATAGTAAACTCAAGAATATATTGACATATACATAGAGCTGTACGCCGGCTAAGCTAAACTGCGTGGTAAACATATAAACTTATTCTTTCGTTAGCTTTTCCAGTTTTTGTTTTTGTTTTTCGGTAAGGCAACGTGACTTCGAAAATTCCTAAAGACAGTTTAAAAAGATTGCGTGCCCTACCTGGAAAGTGACCTAGAGTTGAAAGCGTTGACAGCAGAGCTGTTAATTCTCTTGAAGACAGAACATATATGTACAGTCTGACATGCTCTAGCCGTGAGCTATGACAGAATATATACCCGTACAGTCTGACATGCTCTAGCCGTGAGCTATATATGACAGAACATATACGTACAGTCTGCTATGCACTAGCCATGAGCTATGCCTCTCTAGCTTCTCGGCTCGAACGAGACTCGTAGATAGTTAACTATTAAACAAAATAGCCAGCCATTGACATAARCTGTTCTCAATGTAGGCTGGAGATGGGATCAGATACCGTGAGCTGATTAGATACTATAGCCAAAGTATCATCGACCTTTTCTACTTTATCAGGATGTCACTAATCATAATTCGTCGGGATCAAATGACGCTTTAGGAATCACAAAAATCTAAAGGGTAGAACTCCTGGTAAAAGTCTGTACCGTAGAGCTCTTTGCTAGATGAACTCGATGCCAATACCTTAACTTCGTTATGTTCAGCCGGGGTGCTTTGTAGAGCTTTGTGATTTCGTATAATGAACTATTAACGCTACTGGTCAGATGTTATTGTGAATAAGTGCCGTGTTTGATCAACAGTCGGATTTATAAGTCTAGCTCGTGACTTCTGCCTTTTTATTTGTTTTGGACTAATTTAGCTCGGCAATATGGAAAGCAATTCAAAGCCCCTTCCATTGTCCCAGCCACGCTACAGTCTTTATACTTGTGCTACATATGAATGCATTACGGTGGAACCCAGATCTTTGCTGCGACGAGATGGAGCTGGCCGGAGTCCTACCAACCGTTTACCAATGTGTTCAGTTCAAAATTTATATATATATATATATATATAAATTCCAATAATAATCAAATGATAAATAAAGACAAGAGCCTTTTTTTAGCATCCTACTGCCGTCATTTCTCCAAAATATTCAGTCTTAAACTCATGTCTACCTCATTAACTTCTCCATTAAAATTCAAAATGATATCATTTTTGTCGCTTATTTTGACAATGTATTTTCTTCATTATTCCATTGCCTGTCTTTTAACATATCTGTATGTTCGTTTGGTTGCCATAACGACCGCTCTCTGCTTGCAAATCCTTCTTAACAGGTGTAGAAATAGGAAAGACGAAAAAGTTAAACTTCGTAATATATATATTATTCACTACATGAGTTTCAGGTTTCTAGGTTAGACAGCATTTCCTGAGCCATTCTCTTTGATTACAAACTTGYGCACTTCAAAAAGAATAAATCCCAGTAGAAGCTATTTTCAAATAGGAGCAAACTGAATACTGTCATAATCAAAATTCAATCCTTCATTCGTAAGGAAATAGAAACAAAACAATAAGATTAAGGTTTGCTAATGCCGAGAGTTAGATCAATATCTCTTTCACGAGTTTATTGAATTATTTTGGTGGATAGGAAAAGAATGACAAGTGATTACAAATAAAGAAAAGATAACAATCCGATTAAACTTTTTTTACACTTTACAAAGATATTTTAAAGTTATCTTATAAAGAAATCATATTTGCTATCAACTCATACGCTCTTTCTGGATATCTGTCTGCGAGATAATAACGGAATTTTTGAAATTTSAAAATTTSAAAATTTCAAAATTTTAACCAGCTAGTTTTGGAACTGTGAAGTCGAAATAAAAAATGATTCATGCATATTCACTGCACTCTTATTATTTATTTCTTTTGTATACTATTACACGCTAGAGAATATAATGTATAACATCGATAAGACTCGAATATTTTCTCTCGCCGTCAGACAACATCGATTAGGTCTATTTAAATAACTCGAGAAAGACATGAATCAAAAGGTCAAGCCAAGTGATTGATTATCGCCTGAAATGACCGAACTACACCTAAGCTATACTAATTAGAGAGATCTCTAAATATCTTGTCTGGAACTCTCACGGCCCGCGGCGAGAGAGACAGAGACAGAGAGACAGAGAGACAGAGAGACAGAGAGAGACAGAGAGAGACAGAGAGACAGAGAGAGTGTGAGAGAGAGAGGGAGGGAGAGAGAGAGAGAGGCCAAGTTATGGTCCTCAACTTTCGGTCTTTTTCATATATCTACTAGAATTTTCCAATCTCGCCGGCAGTTCCCCCAGTTTTTAACTATTGAAGGTGCTGCACGATGCTTGCCTCGTTCATTTTCCTCTTCTTTAATGACTTTGTATCTTTGAATCCTTTCCAGTGCTGGTCCCAAAGGAGACAACATATTCGAGTGGTATGCTACTATTCTTGGTCCTACTGGTTCTGTATACGACAAGGGAGTTTTCTTCCTCGATATTCACTTTCCTACAGACTACCCCTTCAAACCACCAAAGGTAAGCAGAAGCTTGTTGAGGGTAATTATTGTTGTTGTCTCTGCCTTTCGGGCATAAAAAAGAAATTCGAAACTAAAGAAATGATTTATCTTCTTATAATTTCTCTCCCCGTTTCCTTTTCCTCCTCCTGTCCCTTTCCCTTTACTCTCCTTCCCTCTATCCCTTCCTCCCCCCTGTCTGTTCCTAGTGATATTGATGACAGTAGCAGCTATATATTCAGTATATCATACATGTATRACAAACGATGTATGAAACTATTACAACGAAAGAACTAAAATAAACTACAGTAGGCTGTTTGCATGATGGTGCATSATGGTGTCATTTTACAGTCAYTACCAAGATGCTTCGCGAATCAGTTCTATCTTATTCAAATTTAACTTAGTCTCCTACGCAGCCGCTATTAGTTTCGTTACGCAACGCTGTACTCCCCTAAGTAGTGGCCGCTACTTAGGGGAGTGAGCGTGGCGTGACGATATAATAGCGGCTGCGTAGGAGACTAAATTTAACTGAACAAAAGAAAGTGTTCAAGGGATTCTGGTAGTGGTACCATGATGCAAGTGTCTTATTTGGCAATCAGAGTTCGATGACTGAAATATGAATGGGTGTTGCTATTACTGGTTCATAAAAAGCCATCACGGTTTTTAAACTGAAATAATTTTTCTTGCAAGGTAAACTTTAGGACAAGAATCTATCATTGCAACATTAATAGTCAGGTGAGCAGACTTCTTATTGCTTGACTACACTCAGCTGATAAAAGTCTTTGAATCTCATTATCTGCTCCAAATGGGGGTCAAACACTGACCACCACCATTTGCTGTCAACCAGAAAGAATTCTATTGAAAACTTGTGATTCAGTTGATGAACATTCCCCACTAGACAGGAAATGATGTCTAGTGAAACCCAGCAATATTGTCAGGTACCGACTAGCAGGGAACGCGGAGACTTCACCTTTCACCATACTATAGCCTCTTATATTTCCCAATCTTAGCCCCCCCTCCCCCCTTTTTAGGGTGGTCCGCGGTCCTTGACTAGTCATTCTTCAGAGCAAGGACTGACCATTCATGCATGATGGGAGAGTTTGGGTGTTAAAAACTGACCAGGTTAAATTATACAAGCAAAATATGAAGGAAAGGAAAGGAAAGGAAAGGAAAGGAAAGGAAAGGAAAGGAAAGGAAAGGAAAAGAGTATTGGTTAGTAATCACAAGCAGTGGTGTTGCATGAAGGGAGAGATATGTAGCTGCTCTTCGACTCTAAGCAATGCATAAAAGTCTACTCAAGTTATAAAATACTAATACAAACTCGGTTGCCTCTAGGGAGTAATCTGCCTTGACATCCTCAAGGACAGTTGGAGTCCAGCGTTGACCATATCAAAGGTTATATTATCTATTCGTTCATTACTCACAGACTGTAATCCTGGTAAGTTTATATATAATATATCCAGTAGAGTATGAGTCTAGTACATCATTAACTACAACTACCAGAATCCCTTGCACACTTTTTTGATCAGTTATTTAGYACCATGCCCAACGTCTCACTATTTTCAAAGCCTATCAAATTTGGATACAGTGTTGTATTAAATGATAATATTACGTGCACACAACTGAAGACCTTAAATTATCTCCGATTTAATTTTGTCTATCTATGCCTTAAACGCATACGTATTACCATACGAGTTTTGAGATAATAGGTCGTTTGCACAAACACCCACAATGCTTTGTACTCGAAMATYCACAATGCTTTGTACTGGAACACCCACAATGCTTTGTACTCGAACACCCAAAATGCTTTGTAATAAAACACCCACAATGCTTTGTACTAGAACTACCACAATGCTTTGTGCTAGAACACCCACAATGCTTTGTACTAGACCACCCACAATGCTTTGTACTGGAACACCCACAATGATTTGTACTGGAACACCCACAATGCTTGGTACTGGGACACCCACAATGCTTTGTAYTGGGACACCCACAATGCTTGGTACTGGGACACCTACRATGCTTGGTACTGGGACACCCACAATGCTTTGTACAAATGGTTTGTGCCTTTGTTTTCAGCTGATCCTCTGGTTGGAAGCATCGCCACACAGTACCAGACAAACAGAGAAGAACACGATAGATTAGCTGAAAAATGGACAAAGAAATATGCATCATAACTAACGTTCTAGCGCCATTTTCACTGGCCCTTCTGTTTAATCGTTATAGTCAGTACTACGAAGTCGACACTTTATGTAAATAGCAGGTTGAGCCATTGTATGATATCGCAAATGGATAACTGCATACCCCTGCAAATAACAAAGTTTATCAAACTGCTAGTTGTGTAACAAGCAATACATGATGATAAATACGTTTAATTAATCACCTATAGCAACGAGCTTTAAAGTAAATCGAGAACTAGCTTCATGCAAAGAAGTGAGAGAATTTTAACTCTACTATACAAAACTCTTTCCTATTAAGGAATCCTTAAAATGGTCCACTTCATCTKTAATATTGTCGTATTCGACTCGTAGCTCATGAAGTTGAAAGGCATTATTCTTTTCAATATAAGGGAATTAGTWGGATAATATTAGGGAATTACAAAAAGAAATGTCTTTGTTGCTGCTTTTCTTCATTATTTCAATAAGATAATATTTTGTCTRACAAATARASCACTTGCATGCGACRTCAAAGGAGCTCAATTTGGAGTACAAAACAAAAKAATTYCAATCTCCTGAGGAYTGGAAACCTATTGTTATGTCCTCCGAATTGGAATGCATTCAGACGTGCATGCTGCGAGGGGTCTACTACAGAGTAGTAGTATCTTAGCCAATCAAATCGCACAATATGCAATACTTTACCAGTTTCTTTAGACCAAAACATAATGACTCTATATTTTTTGTTTATCCACTAAAGTTAGAGCAGTTTACGTATGACTGTGAAAAGCTCCTGGCACGAACAGCGGTCGTGATAAAGCAAGGTATACGACAGACCAATCAAATTGCGCGAGAATTTGCTCTCCATCYAATCAAATACCTGGAACACGGCACGAAGAAGGTGTTGGTGGACGTCAATTACCAGGCGTTTCCATAACATTGTCAAGAGCTATAAGGGCTCGTCCCTATAGAATGTCATGGAAACGCCTTGATTGACGTCCACCAAAAGCTTCTTCGTCGCAACAGAAACAATCGCTATAGCGGTGCTAGCGCGCATGTGATTCAGAATGGCTGTAATAAAATTCTAGAAAACATCGCGGTCACTGCACGGCACTCTTACGGTACTGAGCTTTTCATGTCCTACGAAAACTGCTCTAAGATTATATGAACACTGATGTATCTATGCAAGAGAGGTAGTAATTTATTTTGAATTTTTGATTCTTCTATGGATGAAATATCCCTCTTGATATGTCATTTTGCACTCCTTCCCGTCTCTACAAATAAACAGTCAATCAAACGTTATAAAACAGTTTATTAAAAACGACACTTAAAATTAAAGCCTGTRTATTTGTTCGTTTTACTTATTTCAAAACACGTGCCATTCTCTTGAGAAGATTCTTTGCTTGTTTTGTATTCATATTCATGTGTCTTCTCATGTACAACCGTTAATTAAGTAGGAGAGCATGCAGTGCACACGATAAACTCCTACAATAAAGTAATACTTTTTGATAGGGATTTATTCTGATAAGTTCATCATTTAATAATTAATTATTTATTTATTTATTAAATAACTTTTGGCAGGATTTATTTTGATAATTTAATAATCTAATAATAAATGAATAGACCCCTCATAATTACATTGAGTGGGACTTTTTCCCATTTCAGATCACGTGTCATTCTCTTGAAAATAACATTCTTATAAATAATTTCTGAGGAACGAAAGAGTTATATGAATGCAACGGAGAAATACTTAATCTTAATATTACTAAAATCTCGTTTATCTTGCCCTTCCCAATCCATCCACTGATAAAACCAAATAACATTCTTATAAATAATTTCTGAGGAACGAAAGAGTTATATAAATGCAACGGATAAATATTTCATCTTTATATTACTAAAATCTCGTTTATCTTGCCCTTCCCAATCCATCCATAAGACCAAATTGAAATAATTGCAGAGAAATAGTTGCCCTCCGCCGCCGTCACGTCATTAGTTTSGTTCCCAGACCCTCACGACCTCACGAGCCTAGTCGGCTTTTGTCTGCTTGTCACATTCGTGTGCATTGATTTCCAAAGYGGATCGTTTGAATAAAAGACCATATTAGTAGGGCACTTGTGCCCGGCTAGAAGATTAGAGACATTAATAAAGTTATTATTATTATTATTATATATATCGAATTAAAAA